CCTGGCTGTCTTACCTGACCTCTAGCAAACACACAGGATTGCTTCACACAGTTTTGCTGACTCCCCTAGAGTGAGCAGCACCCATGCCGTTTCACCACAGCTGGTCTCCAGCAGAAGCCATTTGCTGTGTTGCTTCCTGAGGTGCTGCACATTAGTAATGACAGCAAACAGACCAGAAACAAACCTCAGCTATTTGCCTGGGAGTTTTGACATGGGCAGGTTTGGTTGGAATGAGCTGCTCTAAGACTTGCCTGTCTTCTAGGTCTTTGTTGACAACTTTGTCCATGCTGACCTGCACCCTGGGAACATCCTGGTTCAAGGCACGGCCCATGTCAGCACCAGCTGCAAGGAGCAGACAGCCATCGTGGACCTGTGTGACACGCTTGTGGTGGAAGTGCAGCCGCCTGTCAGGCGGCTCTGCCTGGTGCTGCTGGATGCGGGGATTGTGGCGGAGCTGCAGAGCGCTGACATGCAGAACTTCCGGGCAGTTTTCACGGCTGTGGTCCAGGGACAGGTGAGGCCTCTGTCATGGGGCTGGGGAAGGGAGACAGCTGGAGATTCTGATAGCCAAAGTGATAGTTTTCTCTCTATTTTCCCTTATGATCCTCCCTAAGAGGGGAGAGGAGACTTGCTAGCGTGGAAGCTGTACCAGACACAGGGATTAGATGTTCAGCTACAGCAAGGAGGCTGCCAGAGTCAAGCAATTTCAGTGGCCCAGGAAACAGAAGGTATTAAATGGGAAGCAGTAGCTGCCACTCCCTGGTTAGGAGTGCTTTGATGCAAGTTAGGACTGTCTGGGAGCCACTTGGGTTTGTTGCAGAATCTGCCAGGTTTTGCTAGAGAAGAGGAGGAAATGGATTAACATCTTGGTCTTCCACACAAGTTCTCTTCTGCACCCTTGCTGCTGGAAAGCCCATATGCCATCCAATTTTACTGTTGTGTCAGCATCTGTAGAGAAGAGGAAGCAAAACAGGTGGGGTGAGGGCATCTGGCCTCTGCTAGGCTCCTCTGTGTAAGGGGAACTACTTTGTCTTCGTTCCCACTTACTTAAAATACACTCTTTAGAGTAGAGAATCCAGTGCTGATGTCTCCTGTTCATTCTGAGAACAAGCATCTTTGCTCATACTTGCATGTTGCTGTTTCTCAGCTGTGGGTGGGGTGGCTCACCAACATACCTCAAGAGGGACGCATTCTAACTTGGTCTGTTTAATCTGCTGAAGCATACTGAGGAGTCGGTGCTAAACCGTGTGTTCAGGCCCATCCTGCGCTGCCAGACGTACTTCTCAGCTACTAAGCAAAAACTGCAAACATTTGATTGCAAATCCTTCATGGGTCAGGCTGGGTGCAATTAATGATGTACAGGTGAAAAACTACACCAAGTCTCATTGCCAAACCTGGGCCCTCTGGCTCTGTATGTTGCTGTCAGACACGTCTTCTTAGAAGAGCTATAAAGCCCCTCACAAGTGAAGCTTGGATATGGCTCCCCACCTTTCTCACCAAGCATCTGCTGGTGTAGAATGAGCTTGCTCTTTTTCCACAGTTTGCAAATGGAAGGTTGGACTTAGCCCATAAGGGAGGTTAATACATGTTCTTCTTTACACCATTATCTCCTCTGCTAAGAGGAAAGTGCCAATCCTGTGGGTTTTATTCCCCCCTCCCCGGAACTTCTGACTGAGAGATATCTTTGTTGTGTTCTACCCTACAAGGCATGCAAGAAAAATAAGCAAGGTTTTGCCATGTAGCAGCTAAGACTTTTGAACCAGTTCTGCTCTTTCTGCACCTGCTTCTGTAGATTTGTTGGGTCTCCATTGCTGGAATGGGAAAGCGTGGCCCTGGGAGTTCTCCCTGCAGTCTGCAGGCAGTCCCCACCAGGGACCTGTGCAGCAGAGACCTTCAGGGATGATAGGCCTCCCTGTAGGCCTGCTGGCACCAGTGATCAAATTCTGATTCTTCTTTTCCACTTGTTTCACAGGGGGAGAGAGTGGCAGAACTGATCCTTCATCACGCCCGTGCTAACCAGTGTCAGGATATCGAGCGATTCAAAGCCGAGATGGCGGAACTAGTCACCAAGGTCCGGGGGAACACCATTGCCCTAGGAAAGGCAAGTGCACAAACAATGTCCCACCCTCACTTACCTGTAATTCAGTGCAATTTGGCTTTTGGAATGATCCATGTGGAAGGGCCCGCTCTGATCTTATCAACACCACAAACCAGTACTGGGTGCTTCTAGTCTCTCAGGTGCAGCAAAAGTCCATAAAATCCTTTCTTTTTTCCTTCTTGTTAAAACCATGTGGTTTTGTTTGTGGGTTTTTGTATAGTGGGGTTTTTTTGCTTGTTAGAGATTTGAAAATAAAACCCTACATCTGCATTCCCCTGTGAGGAGCTGCTGAGCCTGATATTATAGCTTGCATCCTGTTAGCTAAGGCCAGCCTGCCCGCTTCAGAGTGTGTAGTATGGTGGTATTGAGCAAATTGGTGCATGTGTACTGCTGTGAGGTCAGACATTCTCAGCCTTCCTGGGCTGGCAAGTAAGCAGAACAGTGGGTCACAGCTGAACTTAACCTGGGTGGGGGGGCGTCATACCATGATGTTGGCCGTTGTCAGCCCAATAATGTTGTCCCACCACCAGAACCAAATGCTAACAAACACTTAAAAGAATCCTGCCTGCCACTCATGCGGCTCAGTCTTGACCAGTTTTTTTGATCAGTTTTTAACTTCTTTTGTATTCCAGCTTCAGGTGGCAAATCTCCTCTCGAATGTCTTTAAACTATTGATGACCCATAAGGTGAGGTCCTGTCACTGTCTGCCTTCAGTAGCTGGCAGTTCATTTGGGGAGGGAGAACTGCTCGGAACATGAAGGGCTGACAAGGAGGGGGACTGTGACTTCTGAAACAAACTACTAGGAGGGGGACTGCAGGACTAGGTGTTGCAGGCATAGTGTTTCTCGGTTCTTGGCATGCACCCTACCAAGACCAATTTCTGTTTTGTTGGGTTTTGTCTTAATACTGCATTTAATGGTTGATATTATTTACTAAAAGGAATATTGCTATAACCCATAGTTTTTTTCCTATCTTTTTCTGTAGTCCCTTAGAAGCAAAAAATGAAATCTAATGTATGTTCCACTTGTATATTATTGTATGCTTTCTTCCCTGGACCTCTTTCTTGACATGTGGTTAGGTAACAGCACTAGGCCACTTTACTGGTTTGTTAGAGGCCTCAACAGTGAGGAGTTGCTCACAGAACAGAGATTCCTTCTTATAACGCATAGTATTTTGGGACAAGTTTCCATGGTTGCAAACAGCTTTGGAAATCAACAGAGCTATGGTGGCCTGAACTACAGGAGATGGGAAGGTTGTCAGCCACAGGGCTGCCCAGCCTGCAGAGGGTCCCCTAAACATTCCTTAGTTAGAGATTTTTGTCATTAAGCCTCATTAAGCTTGTTTCTAATAACATGAAATGTAATTTAGGCCCTTACAAAGCAAGTCTTCCCAACTCCATGAATTCTTAATGCCCTGGTATGCCTGGCTGGGAACGGGGGAGTAGTTTGTTCACAAGCAGAGCAGAGGATCGTTTCCCCTCTGATGTGTGTGGGTCTTTTGTGGCTATCTGAAAGGTGAGCTCCCCCTTACACAAGTGGATGCGTCCAAGTACATTGGGTACTACTGCAGGCTATAACTACACTACCAGTGGTGACATTCCTAAGCTCCTGCTACTCCAGTATGAAAGAAAAAAAATAAATCCCCCTTCTTGGAACTGAAAAACAAACTCTTCATTTCCCTTAGGGGACTTACCCTGAAACTGTTGTCTTATTTTTGGGCCTGCTGCTGGATTTCAGTGTATTTTGAAACTCCAAGTGATGGAGTTGCAGTATAGTTTCAGCTGTGTGTATGCTCTCCCCAGCCTCTTTCCTTCCCTCTCAGCTTAGCCAGAGCTGGTACCTCTGTGGAATGGGCTCAGGAAAAGAAATGGTCCACTTGAGTTCATTCAGTCACTTGTGGTTCCAGGTGAAGCTTGAGAGCAATTTTGCTTCCATCATCTTTGCCATCATGGTTCTGGAAGGTCTTGGTCGTTCACTGGACCCTGAACTGGACATCCTAGAGGCAGCTAAACCGCTGCTCATCAAAACTGCAGCTTCTGTCCTCGAATAGACTCCTGTGGCTGCTGCCTTCTCACTGTGCAGGGTTACCTGTGCTGTCTGTGAGCTGACACAGAGAGAAGCTGAAGGTGAGAAGTCACACCTGTCTCTGGGAAATGCCATGCAGTGGTTATTCTCCACTAATGTTGCCTTCAGTCATTTCAGCCAAGCACCAGGCACGGGATGATTAGAAGGTCTATTCCAGAAACCAGGAAGACTTTGCACAGTTGGAGAGTTCTGACTCATTACACAGTTTTACGAGCTAATGCACTCTGGCAGTTTTTAAAATGACATACGTAGTTTAGCTGCACAAGATCACTGCAACCTGATGAGAAAAGCAGTCTTACTTGTCTAAAGTCTTTTAAAAGATGTTCATTGATCAAGTCTGTTTTTAAATATATCAGGTTAAGTATTTAATTTACTGACTTATCTGTCACTGTGGTATGAGAAATTATGTTCTGTCACTACCTAAGCAACTAATTCAGGCTGAAAAAAGCTAATAAAGTTTCTTGTCTTTTGTACATTTAACTTCCACTTTTATTGTAGAAATTTATTGAGATCCTGCATGGAGTGGTCTGTTCTTAGTCATTTTGAATGATAAAAATGGACAAGTCAATCTGATTTTTCAGACTTCCATACTCTAGCACAATACTATAGGAGTTTGTATTATAAACAGCAAAAGAAAATATTTGCCTAGGCAGAAAAGCTAATTCCATAATAAAAACAACTTTTGGGTATATTTGTCTTTTTTTTTTTTACCTTTAAAAAAAAAAATCTTTTTTTTCTCTGTATGGTTCCTTCCTCCCACCCTCCCCCCCCTGCTCCCCGACTCAAAACCTTAACTAATACGCAAATGCTTGGGTTTTGTTTCCAGTAGTTCGCAAAACAAGGAATCCAAGTGTTTTCCTAGTGGATGGAAAATACATTGTGAATGTTTAAAATTAAATAAAGCCAGCAAAAGATCTAGATCATACATAGGTTTTACAGTCAAATATTTTAATAATATTATTAAAATTATTTTATGGCTGTATTTAAATAGTGAGAAACTTAGTCTGTGAATGACTGGAAATACTGTAATACTAAATCTATTCGCAGATATACTGTATGTGAAATTGCAGCAGCATGGGGTGGCTGCAGTGGTCTGTTTTCAGATGGTTAAGCAATAAAGAGAAAGTACATAAGCAGACAATCTGCTGTTTTATGGTGATTATAAAATAATGATTAATGATATATAAATGAAATCTGAAAAATAAATTGAGATTCTGCCTAATATATTTCATGTACTTTCCATTAATCATTACATGTTCCATTTCAAAATGCTTAAGGATGAAAGCGGCAGTAGAGTTTAGTATCTTTTGAGTTTTAGGCTTGTTTCTGTAAGTCTGGTTAGACTAGTAAACTCATAACTAGGTACACTATTGTTCTAACTAGCACATGATTTTGTGTAGAAGAGAACACAGAAAAGCAAGCAACCCCCAAGCCTTACGTTAAAGAAAATCTCCATGTGCTGCCAGCACCCGCTTCCACTCAGCCGTGTGTGTGTGTGCCCCCTCCCATTTCCACCCAGCTGGGTGGGTAGAGGTGCCCAGTGCCCAGTTTCATGTAACACTAACATAGCAAGGTAAGTCGTACGACAGCATCACACAACTACATTTCCTATTTTATGTGGTCCTTGACCTCAAAGAAATGTGCTCTTCTGGTGCTGCTCTGGAAGAACCACAGCAGGGCAGAAAGTTCCCAGAATTCAGCAGCGGAAGCCTTTCCAGGCCTGTATTTGATTTCCCTGCAGGCTTGTATAAGCAGGACGTAACCCGTGCCTGCACTTCCACCCCTTCACTTGGCAAAGGTGGACTAGAGTAGTAACTCCAGGAAGAAAGGTATGTAAAGGATGGAGCGGTGAAAAGGTACTCTGGCTGCAATGGAAGGGAGAGTAAAGACTTCTCTGGGAATCGTAATTCCACTTGTCACAACTGCACTCAAGCACCCAAGCTCCAGCACGCTGACTCACACCTACAAGATCCAGAGCAGGTCTGTGAACTGCTCAAGGACCTGCTCACCCACTCCACAGCTTCCTTACGCTAGCAGTGATGCTCGGAGCATCAAGAGGTTCTGTTCTCTGAGGTACTGCTGGAGGTCACAGATTTTTTGGCTGCCTTTTTCCATCTTCTGGCATGAATGCTCCCTGCTCTGGAACGCTCTCCCTTTTGCAGCCTGGTGTTGGTTTTGTTGCCTATCCAGCTCCTGTGATTCCTGTTCCAACGTTTCCTGCCGTGACTGCATTCTGCTCCTGAGAAAATCCTACATAAAAATAAAGATATTTACAATTGTACAGTCAGCTTTCGTGCTGAATTTCATCCACAGTTGTCACTGGCAGAAGTCAGAAATGGGTATAATCTACGGAAATTCATTCCTTGCATACAGAAAGACACTTTCTACTGCAAAGACAGAGAATTTTACTTCCCATCTTTCATCTTTATGCATGTGTCAAAACAAGTGTTACCCTTCATTTATTTAGCTCTAAATGATATAATTAGACACACAGGTGAAAGACAAATACTCTGGATGGTGCCACTGCTGGAAATAGGAAGAACATTTCTGAAATTGCCCTTACCAGCCTTTCTTTCTCTTGTTCAAAGCTCCTTTCATTGCGTTCTGCCTGTGACTTCTCTCTGTGCAAACGCTGTGTCTTTAAGAACTGCATCCTCTGATTTGTCTTCCTTTTCTCCTCCTCTGGCAAGAAAGATTCCTTCCTGCTCCTCTCTGCCCCAGCAGCCTGGAGCAGTGCCATGCGCTGCAAAGCTCTGTCTTCATGCTCCAGCTGTTTCTTCAGCCCTTGCAATGTTCTCTGACGCAATCGCTGCCTGTTTCCAAAACAAAATTTCTCAAATTTCTCAGGAGGAAAGAGCAATAAAAGAAAAAGTGCATAAGACACAAAGCAGATATTCTGGCAGCCTCTGCTTGGTTAATATTCCGGGACTCTCTGTTAGGTTATGAGGGTTAAACCTGTGTCCTAAACACAGGTGGCAAATGCCCCAAATGGGCTGGTGCCTGATGTCAGGTAACCGCAGTCATCTGTTCACCTGACCGCATACCCTGGTGCAGCTGTGAGTTCTTGGCCCTGAAGACCAGGAATCGAGGAAACAGGTTGCATGGACAGGGCTGTAGGACTAATTTGGACAAGCAGGTGGCTATGTGTATTGGTGGTGGAGCCACGGGGGCGACAGCAGGGATGGAAGGAGGTGGCTCATGGGGGCAAGGACCTGCTAAGCTTAAGTGGACTGTGGGGCTGGGGGCAGGGAACAGGGGTTTGGGAGGCAAAAGGACTTTGGGTCTGAGGACAAGATTGAAAGGAATTTGCCCTTGGAGGTAATGCTAAAGGCGAGGAGTCTATGTGTACCCACTCACCCAAACCTCGAGAGTCAATTTTATTCCCATTAGTAAACCACCATGTACCCTCTGCAGAGACTAGCATAAGGCACAATGCGTGATGTTCAGAGACTGAGCGAGAGCACCAGGGAGTAGACATTACCAACCTTCCAACATTTACTACAAAAACCCGTTAGCTCCTAGGTATCACCTCTGGTTGTCCCAGCGCAGCTGGCGTCGGATGCCATCTGTCTCTTGCTGCTGCTCTCTCTTCAGCTGCCTCTGTTTCTCTTGCCACCTTTCGTGCTCAATCTTGGCTCTGCTGAAGTCCATCTCTTTCCACCTCTCCTGAGATGCACCATTAAAAATTGATTTCTAAGAGAAAAAAAAGACACCAAACCCTTAATCTCATCAGTATATTTTACTAATGCAAACTGTAAACCTACAAAACCAGAACAGCTTAGTCTTCTAATGTCATTCCTGAACTCTGGAAGACACACAGGCTCACGAATACTCTAGTTGTGCTTCCCATCCATGAAAACACCAAGTGTGATGCTAAAACCTCTACAGAAGATTAGGCTTAAGTAACAAAGGGGTGTCTGAAAATCCAGTTTTAAGAGTTCTTTGTAAGTCTGCAGGCTGTACTGTTCTGGTTTGTTCCGGTGTTGAGCCAATGCTTACAACTGCCCAGTCTTTGTGGCGGCTTCTGGATTGCATGGAAAATACAGGTTCTGACCACAAATCGTATTACAGATTCCTTACTAGATTTTATTAGAAAGATAAATATCAGCCTCCCTCTGGCCAAACACAAAATCTTCCTGGAGTTCTGTGCAGGTGTACAATTCCTCACTTCCTGTTGTCTGAGATTTCTACCCACAGTCAAGCAGTTTTTGTGTTTTCTTCAGTAGTAGCTGCATTTCAATGGTGGGCAGTGTTCCTAACTTGCGTTTTTAAATGCACTGTGCTGCATAAAGAGATGAAGGAGCACCTACAAGGCTTCTTTTCACAGCCATAGTGCAATATTTATTTCTTTTGTACTCCTTACAGTGCTCTGTATGAGGGAAGGAGCAAGGAAACATCACCAAAATTTAGATAGGCATTCCTGTTTACATTGCTAGAGCTGTTTGGGGCTGGAACAAAATATTTTTCTCTCTCAAATGCATTCTCTCTTCTCCAATTCCCAGCTGCAATTAGCATGTTCCTGCCATTAGCTTCTCCTCTGCAAACAGAATGTCTCCTTCCAGTTCTTTCCTGAGGACATCTCTAATACCACAAGCTGGAAAACACTACAGAACCTTCAAAAAATGTCTCTGCCAGTCTCATGTAACATTTTGATTGATTTCTCTTAACACATTGATCTGTATGGCTTCCTAGGGGCCGTAAACACCTTTGTTCTCCAATGTATTGCTATTCTATGCAAAAATTGTACCTTGTGGGTGGTTTGTGTTTAATGACATACAGAGGGAGAGACCAAAGAAAGAATCAAAGGTATTTCATAGGTGGGAGGTGAACCAATGCTGTTTTCCAGCAGGTAAAGGACTGGCCTAAGGATTAGGAGACTTGAAGTTCCATCCCAGCCCTGACAAGCACTCTCTGCTAAGGGATTCAGCTGACTACATAGACTTTCTCTTTTTTGCTTTCAGTATC